TTTCCTGTCTTAGAAGTTGTTTGAGTACATAAATTCGCACTGATATACTCAATCATATATTTATAAATGTCACGAAACCAGTTTACATTGATGGTGATCAAAATTGTGAAATATTCAAATCTTCCTAGGTATATTTGTTTCTTTACACTGAGTAATCGGACTAAAATAACTAGATGGATGTAAAACAGAAGTGCATGACGCTATCTAAATGCCAATTTTGTTTAAATTCATTGGACAGATTTTAGTTATCAAGCTAAAGGTGACTGTAGAAATTAGAATTATTTTTGACAGTGCTACGTGATCACATGGTTCAGTTAAATATCTCAATATTCTGCAGTTGCCTTCAGACAATGCATCATAAATATAGGTCTAAATGGACCGATTCCCGAGAATACCTTTCCATGCATTATAGGTCGGTCAACCACGTTGTCAATCGTTAATCAAATCAGACAGTCAACGGAACGACAATAAGAGATCTGCGATTAAGTCTTCTAGCTCATAAAACTTGACAACAGAATGTGTTCGTGTTAAAAATGGATCTCCCCCACCCTGCTATGCTTTGGAAACCGAATCCACTGTCGTACCATATATTTTCTCTATACACCTAGTTCATCTCTACTTTATTTGATTTGCTGTGCGAAATCGCCAATTTCAGTCGTTGAATTTCTTGTTGTTGTAAATAATCATTAAAGACCTTTATTTCTGGATATTATAATATTCATTTTCACTTTACATTTATACAAACCTCTATAAGCTGTTATTGATTTCTTTTTTTAATTCTAGAACAGAGAATATGTAGCACATGCAGGAGCTAGATTCCCTATAAAGTGGACATCACCTGAAGCAGCTAATTATTCACGTTTTACCATAAAGTCTGACGTGTGGTCTTTTGGCATTCTGTTGACTGAAATAGTCACATATGGTCGTTCTCCTTATCCAGGAATGCATAATGCCGAAGTCCTCAGACAAGTGGATGCTGGATACCGCATGTCGAAACCACCCGGTTGCCCACCAGAATTATATGACCTTATGCTAGAATGTTGGGCAGCTGATGAAAATAAACGACCATCTTTTGCAACAATCCACTTTCGTTTGGAACAGTTCTGCGAAGATGAACAACCAGCCTACAGAAATGCAAATACCAATATCCATAATCATCCTAATGGAAATTCAATGGTAGCTTTGCAAAATAAACAAAATCCCTCCTCTGGAGCCTACCACAACCACATCGAGATTTCTGTATCACCATAACTTTTAGATTCTTGGTATAGTGACAAGTCGGTGTTCTGATTTGAATGATAATGACCGCAGTGATTCGGCACCTACAACTTTGTTTCTATCAAATCATGTAAATTTAATTCCATCTACTTGTAAATATGAATACCAAATATTGATGTTCAAGTATAGGGACTATTTGTATGACAGACTAGTCATGAAAATCGGAACCAACCTAATAGCTTCTCGAACCAATATGTACTTCTATTTGTTGATAGCTCGTTTCAATTATTATACGAATTATTTTGTACCACGTTATGTTTATCCTTCCCTGATCTAACCAACTGTTAACTTCTTGTTTGGCCATTTGCTTGTTCTCTATGCTAAAGCCTAGGTTTTTTTACTCAGTCTCTTCTATAAATAAATCAATATCCCGATCCTTCAAGTTTTTATTGATACTGTGGCCCTAAGTATATACTACAAAATACTATTTGTAATAGTGAATTTCAGGAGTTATCAGATGTTTTCCAGTGTGCCAAGTAAAATGACATTCATGACTACGCGATTCGAGTGTCTCATTGGTACCATCGACCGACATAAGTTAAACAGTCATCTAGAACCTGAAGACACTAGACAGCCGTCTTATCCTAGTATGAGACTCCTCAAGAGTGGGCATTCATGACTCCGCGACGGGGGGCCTAACCAAGACCCTTCGATCTTGCGCATAACCTCTAGACCACTGAACTAGTATCCAGTAGTTTAAGTTTATCTTTAACCAGCTTACGGTAATCTGTTGAAGGCTAATGACCCATAGCCAGGGAAATTTCGTTGTTACTAACTGGTTGAAACTTAATAAACAAGAAGTAACATGTAATGAAGCCTAACAAAAATCTCTAGGTACTTTTAGAATGTTATCTGTACCTCAAACTAGTTTCCAGCCTAGTTATGTATTAATAGACGACGAAATTTCCATCTTGATATCCTGAATGTGTAATTCTGGGTCGCCCAAGTGTTGAGGAAGTAGCTGAGCTGAACATTCATCCTGTCAACTCGGGCAGTTGATAAGCATATTATGTGTGATTACTCTGCATATTTACTTGCTTCTAGGACTCTGAGGTGTACAGTATATTTCTAGTGAAGGATGTAATACCGAATTAACAGAAAATATCTAGCAAACTGATAGTCACAAGGTGACCTTAGAGTTTTGCTAACTTGCTGGTTGATGAAGCATCGCTAACTTAGAGGACTTCTGTCTAAACTCTTTATCTATTACTGATAGAACTAGTACTTTGGTATACATCTAACTCTAGTAATGAAACTTTCAGTATTAGACATTTGTGATGGGTTTCCAAGTTGCTTATGACTGCTTTTGTCAGACAATTTCGTAGTAAGTTGAAATTAAATATAAACCATCAGTTTACCTTTTTCAGTGTACAAAAAAATAGATCAAGGTGTTGATCAGAAGTGCATTGTTTCTACAGTTTTCTTATAGACCCACTAAACAGGTGGCAGAAGTTATACATGTACAAAGTATTACCATTTATTCAATTTACACGATAAGTCTAAGGGTACCCACATTTTTATTATATCACCAACATGACCGGAAATTGAATAAAATATTATGTACAGAGAACTGAAAGTAAATACATTAAGTATGACGAAATCAGTCAAAATCCCGAATATTATGTATTGCATTAGCCTTTTTCTGTCTTGGGTCGATTGAGTTTACTTGATATATTTGTCGACTTTACACGTTTATCACGTTTTTTCAAACCATCAATATTAGCTTTCAGGAGATTGGAATAAGCTTGATTGAATCTATTCATGTCCTTCTGGTGAACCTATTTCAAATAATTACAGAAACTTTTATTTATGCATTCAAATTTTCGTACCAATAATTTGGAAAGTGAGATTAGTCTTACACTACATAAATATATTCGTTCCGTTCATGTACTTGTGAATTATATCGTTAAGAGTCCTAAATTTGTGTTTTCTTATTCTCTGGTTATGATTTATTATAATTCTAAACCTATTTTCGTTACTGATTATTAGTATAATGGCGATCGTCGTTTTTATCTTTAAAAAGGAGCCACTTAGTTTATTTAACACCTATAAGTGTATTTCTGATTTCTTCCAAACGATTGACGCTTATCATACTCCATAGATTATGATGAACCGAGGACTAATCTGTGAGGAGTGAACATATGTATTATTCAGGTCATGGACGCGTTGATTATATATTTATCTCCCCCAAGAAGTTTATTAACATTTTAAAGGTTCTTCATAAACGCATCAGACAGGTTAGAACATACAGCCATTTTTTATTGTTTCGTTCCAGTAGCAGATATGATAGGTTTACCTAGTCTCACCACTCGCCTTTAACTTTGTTGTAGATCTCACTGAAAACAGCCCTAAAGGCAGTACGTGACGGTGGTGTAGATATGTTACTACAAGAGGGTCTTTGACTTCAAGTATGCGGATGACAACGTTTCAATCTGCGGTGTGCAAATTATTGAAATCGTACTTAATCAGTTACGAATTACAATCTTTAATTACGGCATTTCATTTACACTTTCGAAACACTAATCATTACTGCAAAACATGCAGGAGCCTGTGTATGCATCCACATTTCGTGGTGAAGAGTTAGGGATAATTGGATAGTTATGAGATTCCGAGGGCGATTTTGCGGCAAACTAATCTACACATATAGCGTCTTTGGCCACTCAGGAGTCGTCATGATGTTCTTCAGAATACATAAGGTAGATTTTGTACCGTCGACAGTAATTCTGGCGTATTATTGTGTAACCTGACCACTTTGAGCTAAGAATGTTTGGAGACCTGGTGCGTATGGTCAGCACCGTCTCAAAAGCATTGCTCGTATCCAGTGACAACACTGTGTAAAAGACATTGAGCAGTTATGACAATTCAGTTGGTGTCTAATTCAGTAACCCGGTCATGTTTATACAAATGTCATCATGACGGTTTTCAAAGCGTGCCTTATTTCCCGATGTTAAGACGGTAGTATAATAAATAGTAAAATAGGATCAACATCTGCAAGCCCATCATCTCTCGATTGGGGTCTTACAAGTGATACAACTCCGTGACTTGATACGTTATCAAACATGGTTTGCAACACAAGTCGATGGACCAACTGATTTGGAAGTGTTTTGCGACGTACGTGTGCGTTAACTGAATAAATAATAAGAATTACATTCTTTTCAGAAGGGGTTTGTAAAGATTTTAGAAATTTCAGATAGAAATCATGAGTCAGTTGAAGCTACATCACCTACTGGCTTCGCGCGCGAGCACTTAACCATTAGACCACTGAGCCGGTAGGTCCTGTGATCGAATCCCGCGAGGTGCGGGGTCGTGGATGAGCACTGCTGAGGAGTCCCATACTAGGACGAAACGGCCGTCAAGTGCATCCAAGTTTTCCATGGTGGTCTAGCTTCAACTGACTCATGGTTTCTATTTGTAAAATTACATTTTTTCCAAGATCTCGATATTTTGTGTTTCCCGTTTTACCATTTCCTAATCCCTAGTGATCTGAAGAGTGAATAGACGATATAGATATAATCCAGTTAGATATCAGAAGCTGATGAGCCAGCCGTTCGAATACACGATCTAAGAACATGGTATCCTCAATACTAGTTTAGTGATATAGATACATTCAGTTCCTTACATATTAAAACGAGCTGACAGATACCAGTGAGTTTGGTTGAAATCGGCAAAAATGTCCAACAATTAGCAATACCAGTTTCCTAACACTGAAGCAGTATAGATTACGGGGTCAGACCCTAATTTAGGGGCGAGCCAATCAGAAGCGTTTGAGCGATTTCAAGGTCACGGGCCAAGTTCAGCACGCGATGCTAACATACGATCGGTTCACAGCGGATTTTAGAGAGTAGGTGATTAATGAGAGGTTACAACAGATGGGACGGCGAGACTCTAATTCAGGGACGAGTCAATCAAAAGCGTTTGAGCAACTTCAATTATTAGCCAATTAGAAGACAAAATAAAGTAAAAATATATTACAAGAAAGTAATGAATTACAGTAGATATTCTTCTTTTACCTGATTTAAAAACTTGTTAAGGTTTGATAAAGGCTCATAAGTTCTGAATTCATAATGCACATGGTATAGAAACTCGTCCATAGGGTTAGGGTAGAGGCTAGGGTTAGGTTTAATATTAGGGTTAAGGTTAGCGTTAGGTTTAATATTAGGGTTAGGTTGGGGTTTAGGGTTAAGGTTAGGTTAGGGTGCTAACATGCGATCGGTTTACATCGGATTTTATAGAAGAGGTATTTATTGAGATGCTACGACCCTAACCTAAACCCTAATCGTATGGACGAGTTTCTTTACCATATGCATTACTAATTCAGAACCTCTGAACCTTTATGAAACCTTAGCAAGTTTTTAAATCAAGTAAAAGAAGAATATCCATTGTAATTCATTACTTACAATATATTTTCACTTTATAGTTACTGTCTCCTGATTGGCTAATAATTGTCAAGGTCATTTAAGATTCGTTCAAAGGTCGTCCTTAAATTAGAGTCTCGCCGATTACGGAAGACAAATAAAGGGAAAAAGCAGCAAAATTCAGGGATCCTAGAAAATTAAATGACCAGTACTCTTGAAGTGAGGCTTAAGTACATGAATAAATGGGTTATTCAATAAGACACTTGAATAAGACGATCGTTATAACAATAAACTTTGGAAAGACAGCATTTAGTGATATCTAGAATCTGAATAACATATCATAACTCACGAGCTACTTCACCATCTAAAGCAGGACGAATACTTCTACAATAATAATCCTGGAACTATAGCGAGGTTGTATTAACAAGACGATCAATTATATCACGAGTTTCATCCTAAAAAGGGTGGATGACTTTTACAAGTTGAAGCGCTTCACTTTTATATGATACCCTGAAGTCTGTATCAACCATTGAGTTTCCCGAGATGAGTAATAGTAGTGCACCGAACATCAGAACAACCACGTTAGTAATTTTAATACTGTGAGGTACTTCACATAATATTGTATGCGAGTGCAGTCAATATATTCTGAAATGAGGGACAACTTAGAAGAATTACTTACGTGCAACTAAGTACGGCTATACAAGTTAATAGTCGTTCACTCTAAAGAGATAGTTATTAAATTGTTCGGACCGAAACTTGAGTGATACAGTGAAGTTACACACCCGCTAAAATCAATCTAGTTTTTTTTAGGTACAATAGTGCTGCCACCATGTGGGACTAGACGAATACAGAGGCTTACGCCTACAACTCGCACAAATGCTGTCGGAAAATTTCAATAAAATCGGTCTACTAACGAAGAAGTGAATAAAAGGTCGTTACATAATATACCATAATTTTCAACACCCAGTACACAGTATTTATGAACTCACCACAGTACTAATTTTTTGATTTCCAAGTGTAGCTCGAAGAAGACAGCTATTTTCATTAGTTACATGAACATCCTTTACTTTTTGAACCCGCTTGGGAATAGGTTTAACTCGTCCATCATCTAAACGTAGTAAAACATACAGTACAAGAAAAACACTTACATCTTTTCATTGTAATATACAGCGATCCGCTAGACTTTGATTGATTGAAAAGCTTGTGAAGGAATGTGAGGAACTGAAATTCCATAAGAAAATTAAAATAACATAACTCACTGTGTCATTGTCCAACAACATTTCGACGAGTGTAGCGCAAACATTTGAAAACACTCCACAGACGACACGTCTGAAAATTCTTCAACATACAACGTCGTCAGGTGTAGAAGACAGTAATAGTAATACTGAAGGCTTATATTCTGACATTATTGATGCAAACGTCTGAAAATGGTTTAGTGCGTTATTCAGCATCTGAAGAACTATTCCTATATCTGAATATTTTACGATTATAGTGAGTATATAAAATATATGGTGAATTCCCCATTGTCGCCAATCATTAAAAGCATTTTATTTTAAAAAATTAGAAGACCATCCCTGGCAAACTATAGTGTCTGAATCAGTCAGTACTGATACTGGTAGGTTTTCTTATTGATAATATGTCATGACGACTGATGTTCCTAATTGTTCCGAATGAAATATCTACTCCACATATCTGACAAAGTATAAAAATGTATCTTCTCTGATGATATGCAACCTAAAAGTTACATTACGATATAGATCCACCATTTTTAGCCTTTCCACTTTTTAAAGCATCTCCTTCAGTTTCGTTTAAACTGAGGATGATACATGTATTCAGTGTTTGACAACGCTTCTACCAGTAACACCTTCTAATATACTTTGTTCCCATCAAGAGAAATCAAAAGACAGAGTCGAAGAGATCGGAAGAGTGTAGTTGGCGATAACCAATATATCGGAATTCTCTGATCTAATCTGGCTAGCGATTGCGGTAGATGTTGAGCACAGCGTTACCACACGTGATGTGGTGCGGATTCATGACCGAGCGCCTTCAGCTAGATGAGTCCACTAAAACATATGGTCAGCATCCAATGTCGAAAACCTACAGAGCTATTTATTTTGGGGATTTATTTACCGCTACAGATCACTCCCCCCCTAGTGGGGCAGTGATGACTCTAAGACGTGGCCAGAGAGAAGTTTAAACCCAACGAGTTTGTCGCTGGTAAACACTCTTCTGATAGCTTACTAAATTTAGCAGCATCTGGTCGTATTTCCTTACTATATGGGACCGAGGTACAACATAGTCAAAGAAAGAAAAGTACAATGAAAATTTCGGATCCTCATAAACGTCATCGTTCTTTTCCAGCCGTCCTGGAAAAGAAAAAACAAAATGTAAGTGCATGTCGAAAATTCACTCGTATGTGCGTAAAAAAAGGAAAATAAACTCATGAACACGTAACAGCGTTAAAAATTGTTTTTTTTTTGAAATAGAAATAAAAATATATAAGCATATTAAAAAAACGTTTTTTAAATAATATAGAAAATGTCGAGAAGTGCCTTACGTGCAATAGTCGTTTAAATGTTCTGGAAATCTCACTCTTCTTCCAGAACGCGTCGTTTTATGTTTATTTTCGGATACTGTCGAAGTATCATCGTGTGTGTTGGTTGTCGGATGAGGTATTATAAGTGTCGGAGCCGTGTCGTTCAATTGTACCGAAGGAAAATCCACGTAGATAGGATTTCCTTCTAAATAGGCTGCTTTGAGGCGATCGATGCTGATGCTATCGTTGGTTCCGTTCTTATCGATTATATAGTACTTCGGTTCGCGTTGAAGAACTTTGAAAGGTCCTTCGTATGCTGATTCGAAAGGTCGTCGATGCGAGTCTCGACGAACGAAAACGTGTGTACTATATTGTAAGTCAGGTTGAACGAAAACATCAGTTGATTGAGGTCGAGTGGAAGCAGGTTTAACTGAACGCATTGCGTTTGTAAGCCTGTTCATGTAGGAGGTTAGATCCATGTTCATTGAAGATGATGAAGGATCCACGAATTCTCCTGGAAGTCGAAGTGTCGTTCCATAAACGAGTTGAGCCGCAGTGTATCCAATGTCAGCTTTCCCTGCATTGCGGATACCTAGTAAGACGAGTGGAAGAGCGTCGGTCCACTGTGAAACGTTTGCAGCTGATAGTGAAGCTTTAGTTGTCGGTGAAAACGTTCTATCAACCCATTTGCTTGTGGGTGGTAGGCGGTCGTTCGGAAACGAGTGCTTCCTAATAGTGTGGTCAGACGACGGAAAAGTTCGGACTCAAACTGACGTCCACGGTCTGTAGTGATGGTTGAATGGCAACCGAAGGTTGCTACACATCGTTCGACGAAGGTGCGGCCCACTGTTTCAGCAGTGATGTCCTTGATAGGTACTGCTTCTGGCCATCGAGTGAAACGATCCACACAGGTTAAGAGGTAAGAGTATCCATTTGAATCTGGTAAATGTCCTATTAAATCCAGATGAACATGGTCGAAACGAGCATCGGGAGTTCTAAATTAGCCTAAGGGACATTTATTGTGCCTGATGACCTTAGATTTTTGGCAGCTTACACAGGAGCGTGCCCACTCCCTCACGTCTTTATTCATAACAGGCCAGCAAAACCGTTCTGCTATAAGCTTGATGGTTGCACTAGCACCTGGATGAGAAAGTTTGTGCAATGTATTGAAGACATTGCGTCGATAATGTTTCGGGACGATCTGGCGATCCCTACCTGTAGATGTGTCACAAAGTAAGGTTTCCTTACCTGTTCCCATCTGTCTGATGCGTAGTTTAAGGGTTGTGGACGATAACTCGTGCTGAAGATCAGTGTCTTCTTTTTGAAGCTGAGCGAGATTAACAAGGTCGATTCCTTGGAAACTGTTCAAGGAATTTATTCGAGACAAGGCGTCTGCAACTACATTGTTTGCTCCAGAAATATGTTGAATATCTGAAGTAAACTGCGAAATGTAGTCCAGTTGTCGAGACTCACGGGGAGAGTATTTGTCAGAAGAAGAGCTTAACGAGAAAGTGAGCGGTTTACGATCCGTGAAAACAGTGAGTTCACGGCCTTCGATATAGTGTTGGAAATGCCGTACAGCACAATACATAGCAAGGAGTTCCCTACCGAATGTGCCGTACCTCGATTCGGTGTCTAGCAACCGCCTAAAGAAAAATGCCAAGGGTTGCCAGGAGTTATTAACCGATTGTTGTAAGACTCCTCCGATTGCCGAGTCGGATGCGTCTACTGCGATACTAATGGGTGCTCGGGTGTCCTTACGTGCGAGCATTGTTGCTTTAGCGATCAGTTCCTTAACTGTGGAGAATGCTTTTCGTGCGGTGTCGTCCAAATTAATGGATTTCGCATTTCCACGAAGTTGGTCAGTAAGAGGTTTCATAAGTAATGGGCATTTCGGTATGAAGCGTCTATAGAAACTTACCAGGCCGTTAAACGTGCGTAATTGCTTGACGTTGGTCGGTTCTGGGTAATCCAGAATGGCCGCCACTTTGTTCCCAAGAGATCGAATGCCTCGAGCATCGATAGTGTGTCCTAGGAAGTCTAACGAGTCGGTTCCGAATAGGCATTTCTGAACGTTTACAGTAATGCCATGTTTTTGTAATCGTTCGAAAACAAGATCCAGATGCTTGAGATGTGATTCTCTGTCCGGACTTGCGATTAGGCAGTTATCAACATACGCATGTACGAAGTTGAGACCCTGAAAAACGTCGTCTACGAATCTTTGGAATGTTTGCGCAGCGTTTCTTAGACCGAACGGCATTCGCAAAAATTCATAGAGTCCGAAAGGAGTTATGATAGCTGTTTTTGGTATGTCGTTTGTAGCCATAGGGATTTGGTTATACGCTTTAACCAAGTCGATTTTCGAAAAGACAGTTGTACCTTTCAAGGTAGCTGTCAAATCGTAAATGTGAGGCAACGGGTAACGATCGGGAATGGTTTTTGCATTCAATCGCGGATAGTCACCAGTTGGACGCCAATCGTTGCTGTCCTTTTTAGGGACCATGTGCAACGGAGATGCATATGGGCTATTTGATGGTCGTATGATTCCTAAGTCTATCATGTGATCGAATTCGTTTTTCGCTAACCTTAGATTTTCACGAGCTAGTCGTCAAGCTTTAGAGAATACAGGTGGTCCTGTAGTCATGATGTGATGTGTAACGTTGCTGGTTACACACGGTAGTTTCGGTTGAGTTTGTTGTATTCCAGGGTACTTATCGAGTAGTGGTTGATAGAGTGGGTCTATCATATGCTTAACTGTGACTGGGGATAATCTACAACCAGAAAAAGAAGTTACGCAAACGGATAATTTAGTGTTTCCATCTACTAGCCTCCGTTTGCGCGTGTCGATGATTAGAATATGGTGTTGTAGAAGATCCATACCAATGATTGGCATAGAAACATCTGCAACAACGAAAATCCAATGAATGGGTTTGCGTAAACCCACGTTAAGGTAAACGTACCTTTTGCCATACGTAGCGATCGGTTTTCCGTTTGCCGCCTGTAGGTTTAGAGTTGATTCGTGGAGCCGGTCATTATGATTTGCTGGGAGAACGCTAACTTCTGCGCCAGTGTCGACGAGGTAGCGAACTCTCGTTGTCACATCTGTGACGTACAACAGACGGCTATGTTCGCTGGCTACGGTTGCCGTTAACGCGTGCCGGCTTGGAAGTTTCCCGAGTTGTTTTTCGAGTCAGTCGTTTTCGTGTTTGGAAAATTGCAGGGTTTTCTGCAATTTCTGGAAGATTGTCCATACTGGTTATGATAACAGCACCAGTCGGGGTTATCCGTCTCTCGTGGTCTAGAGACAGATCGTTTACGTGAAATGCTTCTACGTGGGCTGTGTGAGCGACTACGGTCGTTACGAAGATTAAGATAACGCGTGAGTGTATGACATAACTCGGTTATGTCATTCTGAGTCGTGTGAGGCTTTTCTTTGACTGAAAATACCTCTGAAGTAGACGATTTTGTTATTTCTGAAATACGATCGGCAGATGCAGCTAGCTCGTCCAAAGCGTTGTTCTTAAACGAGACCAGAACCGCTTGCACCTTATGAGGAAGTTTAGACAAGAAAAGTTGTTTAAATAGGCCTTCGTCGAAAGTTCTTAGGCCTATCACTTCTCTCATTCGCTGCAACATGTCCGTCGCAGAACCGTGTTGCGGGTCGATGTTATTGAAAAGTTGATCTAACCTTTGTCGATCGGTTAGGTCTCCTCGTTTAAGAATCGAACGTTTTAGGATTTCGTAAGGTTCGGAAACATCACTAGTAAACATACTAGGTGTTACATACCTGT